TTATATTTCGTCTAGGTTACATGAACTAACCGTGCATTTTTTCGCGTTTTCGTCAAAAGTTTCAGATTTGTAAAGTTATGCGCCTATCGACGCCATTATGGAAAAAGCTAAGACTTACATGCCATGTTACTATTCAAAGTTATAATTTCGGTTAGGGTATTTTCTACCCTAATAAATCTCAGTCGTCTCAACGCACTGATCGAAGAAAGGAAATATCACGCCTACAATTCCAGTAATGAATGTCGAGACGTTCTCTTCCTATTCTCTAAAATAGATGTTTGTAGTAATATTTATTTGGTTGTTCGAACCTTCAGGCGAAACGAGAAACAATACTGAAATGATTTTGAACATTTTATAAAGCACTACCGTAGCATAGGTAAGCAGCTCTTGTCAATTATCGTAGTTGAGTAAGTGAATGACATTAAAGCGTTGCCTTATCGCTATCATGTTTTCTCGCCGACTCGAAATTTCACCAATCATTTGTTTTTCGTCTTCAATAATGGGAATTAACGAAATTCTCATCACGTAATCGATTTGAAAACGTTGAAGAAATCTTTGTTCTGGGTGGAAAAAGTAATATGGAGTCTATTACACTTGGCAAATTTCCATCTCGATTGACTGCGACCGCATTGTTCACATTCTGAACGGTTTCAGTCAGTCAGGTTAACAAAGCCATTAGTTACTGCCATGGGATTACAAATTTCAAAAATTAATATTTGAAACCAAAAAAAGAAAAAAAATAAATAAATAAATCAAGAAGCATAATAAATATGTACGGGGGCACCGCTTTATATTAATTGTTACAAATGGATCGAATCTATTACGAATTATCCGTTTTGTCAGGGATAGTTATACAAATAGTGAGGAGGCAGTTTTCTGCTCGTGTTAGGGGCCACAGAAACCGCCTCCTGGTATTAAGGATGAAATGTTTATTTTGGACAACGCATTAGCAACGAAGGAGACAATTGTTGTAAAAGTGCTCCAAACACGTGTAAAAATTTGCTTAAAAATTTTATTGGAATAATAAGAGAAAACAGAACAAAAAAGGCGCTAAAATCCGAAAAGATTTTGTTTCGTTTATTAAACGTTTTCTTATTTCTCTACTTGAAGTTTCTTCATTTTTCTGATCGTTAACAAAAAAAAAAAAAAAAAAATGTAGACCTACTAGTAAGAATACAGAAGAAAGCCGGCGGTAAATTTATTTTTTCATTTATTAGGAAGCGATCAAACAGCAAAACTCGTGTTTGTATTATCTGTGCTAGTGCAAAAAAAAAAAAAAAAAAAAAAGAAAGAAATAAAAAAAAAAAAGGCGAGAATGGTGATTAATTAGTTTCTTCAAATTTTGTGTGCGAATAATTTTTTTTTTTTTTTTTTGTTTTAATGGTGTTTTTCGTTTGTTTTTTTGTTTTCTTAAAACCAATGTGTTTTTGAGTGTTTGCTTTTTCTTTCGTTTAGATGAAATTGTTGTCTTTTAGGTACGTTTTGTTTTCCATTTTAAGCGGTAGATGGACGTTTGATTAGCTTGAGTTTCAAGATGTTTAGCAAAACTATAAAAAAACAAAAACTATATATATAAAGTTCCTTAAGCACATTTATACGCATATATTGTGCGAACGCACACGCATATATTTAATATACTCACACATATATACTCTTGTTGCTTTTACTCCATCGCCCGTCTAAGATGCCAAACAGGTGTTTGCATGTATATGTGTGTGTGTGTGTAGGTATTTAAATATGTATTCATATATATATATATATATATGTAAACTTCGTTCGCGAATTTTAGAAATAAATACGGAAGAATAGTTGAGATTAAATGAAATTTATTCGTTTTTTGATTTATTATTTTTTTTTGTTTTATGCCTTATATTTCAATACCTAAAAGCGAATTCTTCTTTAATTTTTGTTGTGTGAAAATATAAATTTTACGCAAAAACAAAAAAGGGAATGGAAAGCTGAAACTATAGTTGTATTCGTCGAATGAAACCTAAATTTGGTACTAACGCTCTTAAGCGCATAATAAAATTTTGGGCCCATATTCTGATGTCATTTTGATGAGTGAAATATTTATTTTTTCTTTAGAACTTTGTGTTTATTAACTAAGAAATTTATTTTACTATTAGCTATAAATATTCTTTGATTTATATCAATTGGTTATTAAAAAAAAAAAAAGAAAAAAGAAAACCTGTAAAGCAATCGCTACAGGTTGCTTCAATTTCTCAACATTCTCTTCATGTTTATAAACATTCTTTATAAACATAAAAACGAGTGAGGATCTGTAAAACTCTCTCTCTCTCTCTCTCTCTCTCTCTCTCTTTATATTTTTCACTCTTCAGGTGCATGAAATTTTTGGAAGAATAAAATTCTTATAGGATTGAAACGAACATAAACAACGAAAACAACAAACATTTGAACACAAAAGATAAGGATAAATGACTCTTTGAGAAAATTTTAAGAGCAAAGTTAAAAAAAAAAATGTAGTCAAAGCTTAACTGTGCGCTTTAAACATTTTTAAGCTTGTCATTTACCGTTATATTACAAGAATCCGTTATTTTCTCTTCGCAACATTCTCTTTAAAAAAAAACGGAAAGAAGAACAAAAAAAAGAGTTAGCAATAAGAGTCATCAGAGTCATCGTTATAAGAGAAGGATGGAAAGAGAGACAAGTTTAAAATATTTACTTTAAAAATATTGACTGAGTGAGAGACAATAATATGTTATTATAGCAAAAACTTATTTACAGGTGTCGGTTTTTTTGTTTTGTTTTTTTTTTGTTTCTTTTATTTTTAGCGAACTATTTGAGAGTTAAGAGTAGAGATAATATGCATACGCATTCACTTGAAACGTGTAGCTTAAAATAGTGCTCAATGAATGCAAATGTGTGTGAGTAGTATGAGTGAATAAAAACAAAATTGGTTTAGGTACCTGCGTAAGTAGAGTCAATATAGCAAATAAGTACTTTTCGCATAAATTTAAGAGTTTTGTCTATATAGTATAACAAAAATTGAATGAGTTTTTATTTGGGCAAAAGTGAATCGGAAGAATTTTGTAAGAAATGATCTTTTTAGTAAATTAAAAAAAAAAGAAAAAGGCTTGATATGTAAATATCAAATAGAATAGTTTTATAGAATATGTATGTATGTATATTGTGTCGCTAGTGTAATCCATTCAGGTTAAGTTAATCATTTACTAAATACATGTGTATATTTATTGAAGCATTCAATATATACGTAAGTTAAGCAGATAGGAAGTCAACTAGCCAGTAGACCAGCTAGTTAGCTAGCCAGGCAGTGAGTTAAAGCTACAAAAAAGAGCCAAATTCATTTAGCAAACTAGGCAGCTACTACTACTAATACTACTACTACTACTACTACTACTACTACTACTACTACTACTAGTACTACTACTACTACTACAACCACAATACTATTAATGTATGGTGACGACTATGTTTACTAGTACTACAACTACTATAACTCTTGCATATATACGCTTAGTGCATAGCGTATTCTACTTTTAACTAAACTCTATATACCTTTTATACAATATTAGCAAACAGTGCGGCTAGAATTCACTCGTCTCACACAACGACTTTGACTGCGCTTGCAACAACGCAACTTATTACGGGTTCGCTCGCTTACCACGGGGCCTAAACTAAAGCAGAAAACAAATCGAAAATCCGAAGTTTAAAACACAAAACTGACGCTATTATTATACGGAAAAAAGTTTCTTACACGCAGTCTACTTACTAATAACAGTAATAGTAGTAGTAGTATTAGTATTAGTAGTAGTAGTAGTAGTAGTAGTAGTAGTAATAATAGTAGTGGTAGTAGTAGTAGTAGTAGTGCTAGTAGTAGTAGTAGTAGTAGATGCTATATTTTACGTTGCTTTTTCTTTACTTTTTATTATTATTGTTATTATTATTATTTTTTTTATTTAATTTTTCATCAACATTAACGTCAGCGTTGTCCATGTATCAATAAATAGTTGTTGTTGTTGGTGCTCTGCATAAGAATTGGAGATTAACAATAAAAAAAAATAAAATAAAAAATAAAAATGAAAAAAATATAAGAAAAAAAGTGAAAACAATCTATAAAACAAAAATAAAGAAAAATCTGAAAACATAGTGAAACTTGTGTAAGGAAAAAATCGCTTAAAAATCAAAATAAATAAATGTATCTATATATATATATATATATATATCTATATATATATATATCTATATATATATATATATACAGTTACGTGTTCATTGTTGTCCGTAATTGTTGTTATTGTTGTTGTCGTCGCCGCTGCCGTTTTCCGAATCAGCGTCATCAACAGAAATATAGTCATAATTATCAACAGCAACAACAACAATAACATTGCTGGCATATCACCGTATTTTGCCGTCGATATCTTGTTAGGTATATCATCGGAATCATATCATATATGCTTTTAAGAGAGAGTGTAGAGACGTCGCTGCCGCTTTTTGCCAATTTTTTTATTTTTTTCATTTTTTTTTTTTTGACATTATTTTTGTTATTGTTAATGTTTTTGTTGTCGTTGCTATTTGTGTTCTCTTCCTTTTACGATAAAACGATTTTATTGCTGCTACTATCAGCCTGCATGTCTGCTGCTCTTGTTGTTGTTATTTAAATTTTTGCTGTTATTTCATCCTACTGTCGCTGCTCTCCTGGGTGACACGTTGTTTTGGTGTTAATACTACGTGAACGTTAGAATGAACATAACACGACACAACATAGCAGAACAGAACAGAACCCAACATAACACATCAAATATCCATCGTGTAAAAAAAGTGAAATAATAATAAGAAAAAAAAAAAAGAAGAAAAACAAAAAGGAAAAAAAAAAAAGATTTTGCGCCACATTTCGCGGCTCCTTTCCTAGTAGTGTGCTCCAGTATAATTTGCACACATTTGCCTTTTTGTTGCATTTGCATTTTGTTGTGCTTTGCTTTGCTTTGCTATGCTTTGCTTTGCTATACTTTACAACACAACTACTACTTACTGACTTGGCTATTTGTGCTGAGCCGCACTCTCTATACGGCGCGCGGTGCGATGTTGTTGTGTGTTGTGTGCCGCAAACAACTGTTTTCCACTAGCAACACTTGAACATAACAGTGCCACACGTAGACGCACGTAGACGTACGTAACTGAAAACTCGGATAAAATATTTTCTTTTCAAAACATCATCAATAAGGAAAACTAAAAAGTTAAAAAAAAAAAAAATTTACGGTAAAGAACCAGATTTTAAGTAAAAATTTTTTTTGAAAAATTTGCAAACGTTTCTCAGAATATGTGGTAACAACGCATACGGCTTAAAGTACATGGTTTTTGAAGTAAGTTAACAAGAAGGTTAAAGAAAAAAGAAAAAAAGTAAATATAAAATATTAAAATATAAATAAAAAAAAAAAAAAATAAATAAAAGAATTAAACAAAAAATGAATAAAAATTTATGAATATTTGCACGTAATATATTTACAAAAATCGTGCAGTAATAGTGTTCGTGCTGATTAACAGAATCAATGAATAGTAAAATAATTTATAATATTTTTTATTGTAATTTTTTTTTTTTTTTTTTTTTTTTTTGGGGAAAAAGCAAACGTAAAGTTTTAAACAAATATAATCAAAAAAAAAAAGTGGGAAATAAATGCATTTCAGACAAATGGACAGACAGGTACTGATCGTAAGTTGTAAGATATAAGCAAACATGTTAGAAAATCTCTCCTCTGTTGTTGTCTTTAAAGATTTTGTGATAATTTTAAGAAATTTCGTTAAAAAGTTTTTTTTTTTTTTTTTTTTTATAACCTTTTAGTGAAGATTCTATTAGAGTTGCATTTACGTTAGGGTATAAACTTTGTTTTTAATTTAATGAAACTATTCTGTCCGAACAATTGGTTTTTATCCTCTTTGTGTTTGGTTTAAGGACAAGATAAAGGTTCTTTAGTAGGTTACACGGTTATATCCCTTTCTCCACTCAATAAATGAAAAATATTTCATATCCGTTAAAAAAAACATTATTAACAAAGTTTTGAATTTAAAAATATTTCGTATTATGGCTATGTGTCAATGGGCTTTCAATTCGTATAAATGAAAGACAGAATTTTAAGATAAGAAAGGTTGTGTTGTTTTCTTAATTCCAAGTGATAAGCGAATCTTTTAGTTTTATTACTAGAGCTGCTTCCTTGTAACACACTCTTCTTCTCTTTCCATCTACAATTTCCATCACGGGTTTAGAGTAAAATTTCGATGAAAAAAAAAAAAAATTTTTCTTCACCCATCTAACGATGCCCAGTACCACGATATTATTTTTCATATCCCGTTTAGAGTTTAGAGTAATTTTAAGAGGCAGCAATAAAAGAAAAGTCCTTTCGAAAGAGCTTGCTTTTTACTTGCAATTCGAATTCCGATATCCAAAGTTGAAAGCTTAATGTGTGGGTTTTAAAGAAGACCTCTTTCGTGCTCTCTCACATTATTCCCAATGTAAATTTTTGCTTTCTTCCGATAATAAATCAAAATAAATCGAATTTTTATATAAAATTAGCTTTCTTCACATATTGTGGTTTTAATAGACTACGTCTTTCAAGGCTCGGTTTAACGTTGAACCGAAAGAATTGTAATTTGTTAAAAACCAGTTTCGATTTTACAACGAAGTCCAAATTTCGATTTCGAATCCGATTACGTTTTGGATCGCAATATTTGATTTCCGCTATGCCGGCTTATTTCACGCAGAGACTTAGAATTCATTCCAAAAAACAGTTCTCTCCTCAGTATTGAATAAAATTTTCATTCGGAAGCAGATAAGTTGATCTTTCATTATCATTGTTTCAGTGACGCGGAGTGAACGAGAGGTCGAGCGAGAGGTTGAGCGAGAGAGAGTGAGAGAGAAAGAGAGAGAGAGAGAGGAAGGAAGAGAAAGAGCTAGAGAGAAAGTGTGCGTGTGTGTGCGTACGTATATGTGTGTATGGGTGTGTATGGGTGTGTGATTGAATGAAAGAGTCGAAGAGAGAGAGAGAGAGAAAGAAAGAGAGAGCTCCACTTGTATATAGTAAAAACGTTGAACTTTGCATTGCAACCTTCCATTTGAAGAGCGGCCGAGTAGGCAAAGGATCTCAATTAAAAAAACTCAACGGTAACGGGTTTAAATCTCAATTGCGCTAGAGTAAGCTTCATTTTCCAATTTTCAAATAATTTCATATATCATTACAATCACTTTCAGTGTTTTATCAGTTAGGATCTCCTATTTTACGCATATACCCCCATCCTAAGAGTACTCTGTATTTGTTCTTGTGAAAGTGTTCAATAATCCAACTCGAATTTGATTAGTCAAGGCTGGCCTGGCTAATAAAATTTTTTAACAAATCCAAAAAATCTAAAAAAAAAAAAAAAAAAAAAAAAAAGAATGAAATTTACTCTCTACACCTTTTGAAAAACATAACTTTCTTATTATATTTGGACACCTTTAATCGTGATTATACACACAAGCACATACACATATTCACGCACCCACAAATCCATTGATGGACAAATCAGTATCAAAATTGAATTAAACAATGAATTCAAGGTTGAAATTTGAGAAGATCGTTAGGTATATTGAAATTTGAGGCAAAAACGAAGTTTTAATAAGAAATCAATTTTTTAATCTAATGGCAAGTAAAACAAAATATTGAATTCATCCATCATTCAGTTCATAAATATATATATATATATATATATATATATATATATATATATATATGTATATAACAGTAGAATTCCAATAAAAGTTTTATATGTGCGTATGCATATAGTGTTGATCAATTTAAGATTCCAAATTCAGCTATAGTGCTTGTCTATCCATCTGTAGGTAAAAATTCCTCTATATACGATGAATGCATTTGCAAAATTGATATCAAACTATTTAATATATGATCGAGGCAGTTTGGTATTGAAAATAAACGAAATCGATCTTTACGATCACAAACTATATATGCGTCCAATATATGCGTCCTCTGACCAAGAGATCAAGTCTGTTTCCCAAAAATTATTTTAAGTACTTTGAGTATTAAAAATTGTTGGATTGTGTGAATCGGTCTAAGAACTTCACGATAAAAAAAGGTTCATTTTAACAGGAGAAATCAATTTCAGTTTACTTAACCATAGGATAAGGTATGTGGGACCGTTTGTCCGCTTATCTTACAAAATTGAAAAAGAATATGCCTGCTTTCACATATATATATATATATATATCCCGATCAAGTTATTCATCGTTCTATTTGTCTTCACAAAATTTGAAATATTTTTTTCTTTTTTTTTTTCGTGTTAACTGAAACTAAATTTTTCTTTTGTTTGAGTTTTCGAGGATTTTGTTCCCATTAAGAGAGATAGGTTCCCTTTTTTTTTTATCAATTTCCAGTTACTGGAAATTGCAGTGAGTATCCAAAGTAAGTTTTAAATATAATTCAAAACTTTCTCAGAGTTATGTTATGGGGATGAAAGATCGGAGTTTGCGACATAGATGAATATATATTTATCTCGACTTATTTGTACGCATAAATTCCTCTTATATGGAAGAGTTAATGAAATGGATGTTTCATATATAAACTGAAATATGAAATGTTTTCTCAATTTTTTTTTGTCAATTTTTACTTTGACTTTTTATTTAGACAATAGCGAACAAGAACAATTAATGATGTGCCGTTGGGTTTGGTTAAAAAGTAAACTTTTATTTGCTTAATATAATAATTTGGTTGGTTGTCACACATCTCGCTTTTTTGGCGTGAAAGACAAATGGTTCGCAAAGCGTTTCGGTGATCGTTGCTTTTTCATCTCTTTTCGAGTCCTGAAAAGAGTTATTTTAGTTGAATTAGTTAAGAGTGTATGATGCGTCCATCCTTCCTTGTTGGATATCCTCATCAAATTTTACAATTATGAATATGTATTTGTCATAATAATGTATTTTAGAAAATATTTTTGTCATTCTGTCGAGTCATTTCGTTACAATCTAATTTCATATTACATATACTCGTTGTTTCATAATTGCATAAATATATCGCTAAAGAGGTCGACATTGTTAATTGGTTAAGATGTTTACGAAGACCTTAAAAAGCTTGTTGAAAATTTTTTTTTTTTTTTATGAAATTTAATGAAATTGCACCTTATTGTGCAAATAAATAATATATTAGGTATACTTCTTGAGAGAGAAATCAAATTTAAGTTTTAATTTCTCTTCCTTTCTCTTTTTCGCTTTCCCGCTTGCTCCATTGCTCGTTTCTAAATTATTAGCAAAATATTAGTTTGCATTTATTTAAGCAAGAGAGAGAGAGAGAGAGAGAGAGAGAGACGAAGAGAAAGAGAGATAAAAATCATGGTTCATTTCTTTCAAGTGTTAGAAATTTTTACCTCATCGCGATCGGTAAATATGACGACTATGCATATGTGGATGCATTTTTCTTTTAGTGAGACTTGAATTTTTATCAGCTCAAAAATCTTCTCTAGCAGATCGATAAACGTGTCTATGGGTCAATTATGAAAAACATTTTATTTGGGATAAGTCTTTGACTTGAGATGAAAGCGGATAAAATTACTCGCAAGCGCGTACTATAGAAAATTATTGTTTTGTAAAAAACTTTTGCGAACTTCAATAACGTAAAAATGTAAATTATGTCTTCTGAAAGAAAGTTTTCCTTCCATCTGCTAGAAAATAGTTCAAGAAATCAAAAAAAAAAAAATTCAAAATGAAAATGTTTTTTATTTTTTGTACAAGTTTTCCTTAAACAAATTTCTTGCTTTGTTTTTTTTTTTTAATTTTTGCCGAAAATGTTTGTAGGAAAGTGTTAAAATTCGTTATAACTTTTTGTTTTTTTTTTGTTTTTAGATATCAATGTAGTTTCCGATACGGATTTTAATCAATTAACTGTATCGACATCTTTAGCTGTATACTTGTCGTATACTCGTCAAACACGGAATATGTGTAACACGAAATTACGTTGTAATTAAATGACTTGAAAAAGTGATAAAAATATTATGTTAGATACACACACATTCATAACGACAAAATTTAATGAAGAAATCCGACAAAAATGGCTGGACGGATGATCAAAATGAGTGAACTGCCTTAGGTTAATTCTTATAAAAAGTCCTTTTTTTTTTGCTGATGAATGACATGAACTATGCGTTTATAATAATATCTGCGAGTTAGGCTTTGTTCGCAAGATAATTGCGATATCGAAGGTGTCGCATTTACAATCTAATTCCTTCTAATGGCTTTGCCATATTTTTTTATTTTTAAAAAAAGCTTACAACCGTTATAAAAAAGCTCGAAGGCCTAATCATAGTTTTGGACCCACTTAATTCCTCTTATTTACCCATTTCCGTAGAGAATGTTTTATGAAAAATTCAATAGTGTTTTTGAAGAAAACAATTTTCTTTTTAGTAATAAGTTTACATGTCCGACTTCATTCAGTTTCATTTTCTAAATAACATAACATCTTTCATTGCAACTTACAAAGAGATGTGTACCGCATTATGAAATCAGTTTCCTTTCCTTCTCGCTGTAATAGTTTTTCTATGCGATACTTTAAACCTTTAATATATTAACTGACATACATCGCAGCAGTTATTTGAAAGTTAAAAAAAAAAAAAAAAAAAAAAAATGGAAAAAAAGAAGAAAAAGAAAATCGTTGTTAAGTTTTTTTTTTGTTTTTTTTTTCTTTTTTTTGAAAGGAAAGAGAAAACAAAAAAAAATTTTTTTTTTTAAACGAAAGTAAATAAAAATGTTAAGGGAATAATCAAAGTTCCTATTAACATATATAAAAAATCGTAAGCCCAGTCTGTTAGCTATATGAACTGTATGTATTTAAATTAATTAGTTTTATATTGAAATGAACTAACATTTCTTGTTAAAAAATTGAAAAAAGATATAAGTAACTGAAATGAAACGGAAACAACAACGCAAGAAGTCATCGAAAAGAAAGAAAGAAAAAGGAAAAGCAAAAGCGAAAAACTAACAAATAAATAAATAAAATGAAATAAGTATAGAAGAAAGGATCTCTAAATTATATAGCCGACACACATACACACAGAGAAAGAGACACAAGCAAACAAAGTTTGCATTATAACGTAACTACACACATATATATATATATATAAAAATATTTATATATATATATATATATATATATATATAAAATCAAATAATGGAATTTTATAGTAAAATTTGGAAGTAAAAAGCACTAGTCAGCTTAAGCACCCCGTAACCTTATATACAACCCCACGCATAAAGAGGCAACTAACTGATTGCAAAAACGCACTGGCACAGAACCTATCAAAATCAAAAAAAAAAAAAAAAAAAAAAAGAAAGAGGAAAAAAGCCGTATGTCTTTTCAGGCTGTTTGCTGCCTGCCAGCGTAGCCTTATGGCTCCCTTAGTGCCAGTGCCACAAAAACAACAACAACAACAACAATAATATTAACCAGAGCAACAACAATCATAATAAAAACAAACAGATTTAAAGGCCAAAGCCATGCAAAGTTCTTTTTTCCCTCTTTTCTTCTTCAATTTTGTTTTGTTTTTCGCAAGTCGGAGTCAGTTTTGCAGCCACCACCCACCCAAGTAGTACCCATAACAAAAAAAATAAAAATAAAAAAAATAAATATATAAAAGTAAAAAAAAAAAAAAAACGCGACATGATAAGCTACCAATGCTCTCTGAGATGATGACTTTCTTCATTCATCTCCATCTCCGTCGCTGAAAGTTCAATAATAGGTTTTCAAAATTTATGCACCAAACTCATAGTCGCTCTGCAAAAAGAAGAAACAAACAAAAAAAAAAAAAAAAAAATGAATATGCGAGCGTATAGTCAGTAAATAGTTCCGAAAGTTATCATTAAAGAGAGAGCGATTGGTACCAAAAGCAGCTTATTTCCGCTCTTAAGGCACTCTGTCGGGTTTTTTTTTTACTCTTACGTTAGTAAAGTAAAGTAAGAGCAGCATGCCCAAGAGGAGCCTAAGCAAAGGAAAGGGATTATTTTTCCCATCTACTTACCATGTACAGAATAGAAGCAATAGTAGTAGCAACAACTATAAAAACAAAACGAATTCAAGAAAAAGAAAAACAAAAACAAAAACAAAAAAAAAACTTTCAACACACTTTAGTTAAAAAGCTACGCTCTGCACTCTTACTCAGCATTTACTGTACAACATGCGAGTATATGCGCGCACACACACCGAGATATATGTGTTCGCTTGGCTGTGTGTATTGTAAATAATATGCACATGTGTGTCTACAGAGTTGTAGGATTACTGCGCTTTTGCATTTTGGGACTTTCGCAGAGATTGAATATGCGTTGCGGCTGCAGTTCTTGCAGATACTTTCATAAGTTCGTTCGTTCGTTTCGCTTGCACCGGCCACAAAATTTTCTTTTTTAACCAAAAAAAAAAATAAAAAAAATAAAAAAATAAAAAAAATTAAAAATAAAAATAATAATAAAACAAAAATATATATATATATATATATATATATTGAAAAATTATAATAAAAATAAAATTTATATATATACGTATATGTCGAAAAATGCATATACAACATACATAAATATACACTACTACCGTTCACAACAGAATTACATATACTTATATATATATTTATATAGATATATATATACACATACACTTTTACACGCATACTGAAACAAACCAATATACATACATAATTACACATAACACATAATACACACACACATACACATATATATATATATATATATATATATGTATACACACACACGCACACATACACTCTTCCATACATACATAAAAACACAATTCCATAGACATTTAAAACGCGCGCGTTTGTCAATTTTTCTTTTTTAACCGGATATTCGATTTCTTTTTCTTTTTCACGTTAAAGACTTTGTGAGTTGTTGTCACTTGAAAGGCGGAAAAACAACACAAAAAAGAAAAACACTTTTCTCATAGATTTTTGTTTTCTCGTTTTTTTTTTGTTTTTTTTTTTTTTTTTGTTTTTTTTTTCTTTATTTGTTTTATTTTTTCTTTTCTAAAGGAAAATTAAGCCGGACAAGTGTGTGAAAAAACCAATTAACGCTGAGACGTAACGGAAAGGATTTAAATAAGAAATAAAAAAAAAAAAAAAAAAATTAATAAATAGATAAGAAAAAAAATTATATTTTTGTTGTTGTTATAACTAAGGTTGGAATTCAGATGAAAATGTGAAACTTTTTTTAGCAAAATCTTTATCATCATCATAACTGCTAAACAGAGAATGCATTTGCGAAACATTTATTAAAATAAAAACAGAAAAAAAAAAGAAAAAATTGACGAATCACAAGAACAAAAAAATCATAATTTTTTTTTCATGCGTTAATCCAGTTGTTGTAATCAAAGTCAATTACACGCAGTGAATTATATGTATACACAAACACACATAAAAACAAACGTTTTGATTTTTTAGTTTCTTTTAACCGTACTCTCAATATAACGAAACCGTGTTCAGAGGAAGAAGTGCGTGTTCCAAAAAAAGAAGTAAAAAAGTACGCGGTAAATAGTAGATAAACAATATATATATATATATATATATATACATACATATATATTTACATACATGTATAAAAAAATGTAGAAATGTAAATATGTATATATATATATATATATATATATAAAATCTGTCAGACAAATTTTCTTTGAGCAATATGAAAGCAGAGAAACACAGACAAACGAACCGATGATTAAAAAGTACTATTATTATAAATCGACTTTGAATCCTTACTGTTTGATCTTTTGGGTTACGATCTTTTAAGCGCTTTTAAAAATGTTTATTTAAACTCCTATAATCGTCTCCTAATTAGTTGTGTGTGCCATAAGCAAAGGAACTTAATAAAAAAATGCTATTGTTTTTGCTTTCGGAGCAAAATTTTTAAAAACCCTTTTGAAAACGTAGTCATATCCCGAGCGAATTAAAATCATTTTAACTAAAGTGATCGCAGTATATCGGATGAATTAACGAAAGGCTTCCCAGAGAAGGGAAAAAACATTTGCGTTTATTAAATCGTTGAGGGTTCCATTGGATCTCTAAGAAGCTTTGTTTATCGCAGGCTATCAAAAAGCAAATCAGATGCAGAGAGCATCGCTTTCCAGCTTTCTAATAACATTACAGCTCACTTATTAGCTGCATTATGTAATAACGTAATGCACGATCCAAGCTTTTCTTTTGAGATAGTGACACGTTCAACAATAAATTATTAGATACCACTATGACCTAATCGGATATGGAGATTATTTAAATTTATCAGCTATTCGGCATATATAGGCACAATAATTAGGCAGAATATAGAAATTTTGAAACAAAAAAAAAAAAAAAAAACACATTTTAACGATTATTTCAATGTCATACTGCCTTAGCGTGAACAGAAGATAGTCTCTCTTGTTTTGAGCAGCTTTCGACAGTGATGAGATCTTTTTGCGTCATTGTATGTATATCTCTGATAATTTCATAACATCACAACGTTTACGTAGCCAAAGTAAGCTTCCGATGTTGTTTGTGACGTCGATATAATTATTGTGAAAGTTGTTCAAGTTTTTAATCGCGATTATCAGCGCAATTGTAGATTGATTATTTTCCCTCTGATCAATAATATCACTTTTGCACAAACGTTCTATAAAAGGACGTATAGACGGACATTACTATTTCAATTTGAAATGAAGTAGAGGTTGAATTCATCAGACTTTTGATAAAAGGAATAATAAAATCAATCAATTCAATTTTAAACTAACCACGAAACATATGTACAAATATTTATAAATATATTGCGTAATAATATTTTTTTTTTTTGAATACATATACATAACTAAGCCTAATCGAAATTTCTTTATCGTTTTTTCTCTATCTATATAAATAATGTTTTGTTCTTTTTAGGCAAAGTATTGAAAAAAGGAAAATTTCTTTTCAAAACTCAATAAGTTATTTTGAAAATCGAAGGAAATGATTAAAACTGAAATAATCGTCGTGTACACGCAGAAATATTAGAAAGACAAGAGAAGAAGCAAAAAAAAAAAATAAAAATAAAAAATAAAACTTGAATTTGATTGTGCAAGTGTTGTCAGTAAATAAAAGTTAAAAAAAAAAAAAAAAAAAAAACAAAACAAAACAAAACAAAAAAAAAAAATATATATATATATCTTAAAAAATTCTACAAACTAAACAAAAACAAAATAAAGAAAAGATAAAACCAAATACGTCTCTCAGATCATCGGCAGAAACCTCCGCCTGACCACAGCAAACGCAAAGAAAAATTTTGTTAATGTTTCCACCAGCAGATCGTCGTAAAACTAAAACAAAATTAAACATTTATGTTAAGTTAAAATCAGCAAAAGTGTGTTAAAAGTCGAAATTTAAACTTTCTAACTAGAGCCTGAACATTTTCTTTTTTAGTTAACTGATCAAATGAAAAAAAAAAAAAACAAAAAAAAAAAAAATATTCTTAAACCGCAGCTAATCGAACAGTTAAGTAAGTTTCAGTTTTATATTTTAACGCCATTTTTGAATACCGTTTGGATTAAACAAAATTCAACAACAACTGAGCGGACTCTTACAAAATTTGAACGTTTCGCCCGTTTCTTCAGAGCTCTAGTGTTTAGTGTTTTTTATTAAACTCAAAAAGTATATATTTAAAGAAAAAAGAAAATTTAAAAAATTTTGGATCTACAAAAAGAAAACGAAAAAAAAAAAAAAAAAAAAAATAAAAAAAAATTAATTTTTTTTTTTTAAATTTTTAATTTAAAAAAAAAAAAAAAAAAACAACAAAGCAAAACAAAACAAAATAAAACAAAACCAAAACCAAAATAATAACAGTAATAATAAAAATAAACAAAAGACTATCGTGTGTGTGCTTGTGTCAAGATAGAATTTCTGTCCCTCCTTACAACTAACTGTCATGAACTTTATCCATTTCTGAGATAAGACCAAATTTTCGTAATATTATGGATTTTGGCTGATCTGCTTAAAGACAGCAAAGCATTGCATTTAACGGTATTTGTTTAACACAAAGCAGCAGGAACGGAAAAAAACAAACAAAAAAAAACAAAAAAAAAAACAAATAAACGACAAACAGCAATACAAAAAACAAAACGGTAAGTGAAAGCTAAATATTTTTAGTATGTATTTAAATCTAACAGAAACACCTTTTCTGTATTTCTTTTTGCCTTTTTTTTTTTTTTTTTCGTTGCAAAAAGAATTTATAGCAAAAGTCATAAACCGTATGTTAAACTCAACTTTGCCGCCGGCAAAACGAAATATCATCAGAATAGTATCTCACCATAAGAAAAATGAATGATGTTCAAAAGATTCTCTTTAAAAGAGAAAAAACAAAATAAAACAAAAAACAAAAAAAAAAAACAAAAACAAAAAAAAGATGTAATCTACGGAAAAAGCTTAAACGCTAATAAGCAAATGTTGTCGTAAACTTAAACATGAACATTAGCTAGTGTTAGACTCCTTGGCAAGCAAGCCTTCACTTCACATGCTTTGCGGTCATAAATTTGGCAAATCATACATCGAAAAAATACTTCAAGTCATTAAATCATTGACTGATTTCATTTTTTCCCCTAACTTTTTTACCATTAAATGGCTAATTAAACATTTGCCGAATAACTAGATTTAAGTCTTAAAGATTTTTTTTATGTTATATTTAACACCAAGAAAGTTTACTAACTTTATCATATCGTTCGCATTACTTACTTAACAGAAAACTGATTACACTTTCAAATATTTTGATTTTTATTTCCAATCGAGTTACCTGATGCTTTCATCTAGTCTAGTTTAGCACGGTTCTTCCTTCCAACTCTATTTTTAGTTTAGTTTAGATGATCTATTCAATCTACTTTGCATAGTTAATTTCGTAGGTTTAATTAGAGTACAGTTAGTCTGTTTAGTCCTTTCGGACTTAGTTGCTTCGACTTATGGATTATTGGTCTAATTAGTTTAGTTAAACTGCGCAATAATTTAGTCAGTCAAATTAGTCAATCTAGCCAATCTAAGCAATCTAGTTGATCTAATCAATCTATGCAATCCAATCAGTTTAGTTCGTCAAAGAACTTTTTCCCGCCGGATAGATAACTGCAATCATTTGATTGTGTGACCCGGTTGTTTTAGTTAGCGCAGCCAGTTGCTGAAGATTTTGTCAGGATTACAAACGTGATTAATGTTATGGATCCAAATTTAAGGATCTAAAAACTCCATTCTGCTCACTCATTTGGCCATTTGGCTTGGAATTATGCTCTTTCTACTTATCTAACCAGAATCTTTACATTACCGAATCGACAAATCTAATCGCTAGTTGTTGAGTAAGTTCGAGGACTTGCTCGGGAACTTGAGAAATGAGTTCAACATTTTTTCCGAACAAACCTAAATGAAAATGTTTCCTCCCGAACTAAGGTAGGCAGGTAAGGATACCTTATCCAGTTGTATTGCGAGCAATGCAATCCTGTTCCTTCTATAACACATGTTTTTTCCCGTATCTGTAGCAGGAAGCAGCATTCAATTCGGCCTAAACCTTAACGTTTAATTTATCTTTGGCTTTTTTTTTCAAAAATATATTTCTGTGTTAAAAGCAAAAAAAAAAAAAAAAACAAAAAATTTTATCGTCACTTGTATTCGCTGTCAAATCGTGCCAACTAGCTATTTTCAAGTAATTAAACTGTAATTACGTAAAACTTTAAAGCCAGGACAACACTTGCATTCCGTAGCATTGTTTAAAGAAATGAAAAAAAAAAAAAAAAAAATTATTTCTCGTCACGTCATTTATAATAATTTTTAAAAAATTATTTTCACCTTTATTGTGTTTGAAGAATTTTATGACTTTTTCAAAAATTAAGCAGCACATGTTTCTTATTTTTAAAAAATATATCTCGTGACCTGTAAATGTAATTGTATAGGAAATCTTTTTAGAAATGTTTAATCATATTTTGATAATATTGATTGATTGATTTAAGAACGATACTGAAAACAGTTATAACAATTTTCTGTTATATACAAAATTTCCTTTTAGTAAAAGATTAACTTCCGAGGATACACACATACATTTTATAATAATAAGTCTTTCGGTAGACAGTTGTTAATGTTCGTATTACTGGCGGCGACAGCAATAGTAGGAGAGGTGGTAGCAATCGTAGTCTTAGTAGAACTAGAAGAAGCGCTAGTGACAACTACTGATCGGAGGATTAGCTAAAGTCTTAATAATTTTTCTCGATCTTTGCCATTTCTAATACACTTAAAATGAGGAGTTAGTAGCTCGCTGCTGCTGTTTAGTCCTCTTCCTGTTTATCATTTGCCAGCAGTAATAATTATATCATTATTAATAGCATTATAAGTTCAATTGATTTCGGAAAATGTGATGGCGTCAACTAGAACTGTAGCGCTAGAAGTAGTAGTATAGTAATAGAATCGGTTCATCATTTTTTCATTTATTTATATTTATTTCAGTTAAATGAGATTCGAAGAATAAAAAAGCTTTGGTAGTATTGACGGCGACACTAATAAAGCAGCAGTAGAATGTTATAGTAGCAGCACTAGTAACAGCGGCAGTACTTAGAATAGTAGAAGTACTACTATCCGTAAAAATAACAAAAGCAGTTTAAGTAGTAGTGATAGCAACTTTAACAGTAGTAATAGCTGAAGTAATAGTACATGTTGTACTAGTAGTGGTAATATTAAATTAATAACAATAATTGTAATAGCAATAGCTGCTCCAGTATTGGTCACTGTGTGAACAATACTTCTAAAGCAGCAACAATTAAAGCGATGGCCGCGTTACCGAATAGTACGAATAATAACAAGGCAATAGTTTATCATTAGCAATGGCCGAATCAAAAATAATTATTTTTTTTTTTTTTTTTTTTTAATATGATCAGTCATTCAGAGGATGTTGTTACCTATTCGCGTAACGCGGAGGTCGTGAACGCAGTCCAGTGGTGACTTGAGCCCAATTGATAAATGTTATGCCTTTACCGACTGGGCACGTACAAGGGCTACGACAAAAGTAAGCCCTATCGCGTTGAGATTCGACCCCGTAAACACTGACTTTGTGATCGCGAATCTTGTCTACACGACCGCTAATGCGGATCAAAAATAATTACAATTCCTGACCAAATTATTTAGTTAATAAGAAAAGGTCGACTCCTCTGAGAAAGTTACCGCATTACCAAAACAAATATATTATCAATCATTCAATTATTTCGTTCTGTCGAATGTAGCGCCTATTAATTATGTCATCGATTTTTTTTTTTTTTTTTTTTTTTTTTTTGTTATCTGCGCCATATATCTAACTAAACTAAAATATTGTTTTTTTCTTTGAAACATTTTTTCAATTGTTTTTTTTTTTTTTTGTTATTTGCAAGCGTCTTTTTTCAATCCTCATTAATAGTCGAAATGAAAGGCAATTTTTTGTTAAACTTGTTCAAAAGTTTCTTGTAGTTAAATTTTAGAATAACCGAAGAATTACGCATGCAGACACACACGCATATCTACATATACATTGGATCAATAATAAAATATTGCAAACAAAATAAGAGGCATACAATGTATATATGTTTGCTTATACGTGTATAACTGAAAAGAAGCGAACAGAAAATAGCCTCGTCAATGATGCTGACGAGATGATGATGAGGATGGTGTTGGCTGCAGTGATTACATATATATATATATATATATATATATATATGTGTGTGTCACACACGTATGATCTATCAAAAACATATTCGTACCCTCATATATTCAATCCAAAAATATGCAAAGAATTTCTATATTTACACATAAGGATAAATGTGCGTACTACAGGCTAATACATATATATATATATATATATTGATAATATTCATAGTATGAGATTAAAATAATTTGCGCCTTGTGTTTGTAACAATAATCAAGAAGATATGCTTTGGAGTAGTTATCAAGGCGTAAAATTTTAAGTTTGTTTGATTTACGTTCAGTAAATTCGTCTCTTTGGTTGATTGTATTTGCTCTAGAAATCTTGTTTGAAAAACAAAAGAAAATTGAACACTGCTAGCATTGTAGGTTCGAATCATCCTAAAGGCGAAAATAGTTTACAAAGTTCGTTATTAACTTAAAGACTTGGATATCTA